GGTCCCCCTGCGCCTCCTACCTGGCCTCCTCCAGCTTCGACGCCACCACCTGCATCTGGAAGAGGCAAGAAGACGGCTTCGAGGTGAGACCCCAGCCCCGGCAGGACCCCCCCCCCGCTCCCCTTCCCCACTCTGCACCCCGCTCCTCTCCTCTCCTCTCCCTCCCCAGTGCGTCACCACCCTGGAAGGACATGAGAACGAGGTGAAGTCGGTGGCCTGGGCTCCCTCCGGTACACTGCTCGCCACCTGCAGCCGGGACAAGAGCGTCTGGGTCTGGGAAGGTGAGGGGAGAACCGGGGGGCGAGGGGGAGCAGCCCCCCAGGGACTGGGAGAAGGGGAGATGGTGGAGGGCTGCCCCCACCAGCCTCCCCGTAACAGTTTTCTCTGCCCAGTGGATGAAGAGGAGGAGTACGAGTGCGTCAGCGTCCTCAACTCCCACACGCAGGATGTCAAGCATGTAGTTTGGCACCCCGACCAGGAGGTAAGACCCCCATTTCCACCCCACACCCTACCCCAGTGCTGGGAATAGGCTTGGAGAGTGGCAACGTGGTCCTGTTCTGACTCCACCAACCTCAAGTAGCGGGTGAAGGGCAGCTTCAGGTGTGCGGGCAGCTGCCGGGGGCCTGGTTGATTCCTCTGCCCTCCCTCAGCTCTTGGCCTCGGCCAGCTACGACGACACGGTGAAGCTGTACCATGAAGAGGAGGACGACTGGGTGTGCTGTGCCACGCTGGAGGGCCACGAGTCGACGGTGTGGAGTGTGGCCTTTGACCGTAGCGGCGAGCGCTTGGCTTCTTGCAGCGATGACAAGACAGTCCGCATCTGGCGCCAGTACAAGCCGGGCAACGAGGAAGGTGAGGCTCCCGGCCCGTCTTGCCATGCCGCAGGGCTTAGAGCTACTCGTAACCTGCTGGGAAAAAAGAGCGGGCAGGGGAAAAGAACGGGAGAGGAGCTGAGTTTTATTCTCTTGCCTTCCAGGGGTGGCCTGCAGCGGCACCGATCCCACCTGGAAGTGTGTCTGCAACCTCTCTGGCTACCACACCAGGACCATTTACGACGTGGCGTGGTGAGTGGAGGGAGGCAGTGGCGGTGCCACC